TTTTCTTGAAGATTTTTTCCCATACGTCAAAGTTTGTTTTACATCAAGGAGATTTTGGGCTGTGTTTTGTCTATATTTAATTGCAGAGGTGGATAAATTTTTTAAAAAAAGAAATTCTCTCCCGTACGTCCAAGTTGTGTGAACATTACTAAGGGATTTTTTCTGTTACATTTTTTTCTTGAAGAATTTCTTCCCATACGTCAAAGTTTGTTTTACATCAAGGAGATTTTGGGCTATTTTTTCCATATTTAATTGCGGAGGTGGATAATTTTTTGAAAAAAATGAATTCTGTCACGTACGCTCCAAGTTGTGTGAACGTGACTTTGGGACTTTTTCTGTTACGTTTTTTTCTTGAAGAATTTTTTCCCGTACGTCAAAGTTTGTTTTATCAAGGAAATTTTGGGCTGTTTTTTGTCTATATTTAATTGGGGAGCATGATATTAAAAAAACAAAATAGATCTAATCGTTAAGGATAGTTGAAGTCTTTTGATTAACGGCCAGATATTTCTGATTAATGTGAGAATTTCTAGCATTTCTGGTGAGGATTAATGTGGCGGCTCCGCTGAGGCCTCTAATTAGTAATAGTAAGATCCATTTAGCCAATTCGGTAATAATTATAAATTATGTAACGTGATTCGGTATACATGCACTAAGTAACTTGATAAGCCTTAAATTCAAGGATTAAATTGAAACCATCCACTAATATACAATATAAATAGTTCAAAAGCCATACCGATAGTTCAAATATAGGCATAGAAGAGTACTAGAGACTTATAATGTGACTGCTTTATTCTACGCTTTCAAAGGGACCTGAATGTCTTGAATATATCATCTTCATCTACTTCAAAGAAATATCCTCCTCAATAAATATGACTAGATGTATCAGCAGCCGCCGCCGCCTTCTTTGCTGCAAGTTTCTAAAATAGAGATACAATATCTAAGTTTCTCTTTATAATTGCACAAATATTAAAAAAACATATTACCAAATAATTAAACAGTTCATTATTTGTGATGTTCGCAGATAACTATGAAAGTAGACAATAATTTTTTTTAAAAGACAAAGAGCAAAGATTAAATTTTACCTAAGCAACATAGCGAAAGACGATAAGCCCTAACAGGCGTGACCGTTTATACTATAGAAGAGACATGCAAAATAGACGGCGATCCTCCGATTCAAAGCAAGGCGAAGGGCGGGCAGGGCGGCACAGACTCACCGGTCAGGCGGCGACGCGGCGTGTTCCTCCGTGGCTCCCTACTCCTCCGATCGGGTTTAGATTAGGAAACTGAAACCAGAGCGCATGTACTAACGTATGGAGTTCACTTGCCGCGTGGGCCGGGCCACCCGTCATCACGTTATGGCGTCCAGGTATGTTTTTTCGCAAACTCTATTGCGCGCGGGGTCACGCTCCTGGCGAGCGAATGACCCTCGGGCACGCGGCCTGGCCTTGCACGTGCGGCCTAGCCCACGGGAGCGAGCGATCATCTGCGGCCTGTCCACGCCGTGGCTTTTTCCTTTTTGTGTTTGTGCGGCAATTTTTTTTTCTTTTTAGTATTCTTTCCATTTTTATGTTTTTTGTTTGTCAATTTTAGTTTCAAGTTTCATTTTTTTCATTGTGCACTTTTTCATTTTCACTATTTCATTTTTTTCATTGTGTCTTTGAGTTTCAGTTGAATGAGATTTTTTATCAATATTTTTTATTTTCAAGTTTCAGTTAATTTTTTAGTTTTTTTGTTTCAGTTTTCAGCCGTGTTTTTAATGTTTTTAGTTTCAGTTTTCAGTTACCATTTTATGTTCGAATGTATTTCCAAATCCTACATATTAGTTGTATAATAATTTACCCTCTAAGTTGGCACCACATGTCCACATGCAATGCTTTTTCTAATAATTTGCCTCTCGCGGTGCCGCTTGTTTTATTATGGGTTGCTACTTTTGTGTTTCTAACAAATGTCCCTTCAATTTTTCGACTAGTCATGTTTCTCAGTTCATATAGTAGGTTTTATAATAACTTGCCCATCTAGTTGGCCGTTTATGCAATGCTTGTTCTAATAATTTAGCCCCAGGTTGCAGCTTATCTTGTTTTGTATCGCTACCCTTATTTTTTTTAATAAATGCCCTAGTTGGCAGCAAGTCATGTTTCTTGACTTTTCGTAATTTGTTGTATAATAACTTGCCCCTCCTAATTAGCAGCTTATGCGATGTTTGTTCTAATAACTTACCTCTCCAGGTTGCCGGTCCATTACTCTCTTTAGGGGTTAGTACCATATAATAAATTTATTATATTTTCATGGTAACAATCGATGTGCATATCATATAAAAACGTTAGTATATTTTTAGAGTAGCAAGTTTAGTATTACAAGGTAGCAACTTCTTTCATAAATCTACTAACATATTTTTATACATAAATTGCTACTAAAATAAAATTTATGAAATATAAGCAAGTGATGTCTAGTTTTGTTCGTCTTGTCTCGTAGAACATACTGGTACAAACGAAATTTAAAACGGATACCCCGTTCAAAAGTTACATCAATTTAAATAAAATGTTTTGCTTTTCTTTAACTGGGTCAGCTTGCATATATCTATCGGACGTCCATATCTATCAACAATGGAAAGAGAGTGGGAGGTGGGGAGTGGCGTCCGATCCAGCATTGATATCGGGCGCACAGATGATAATCGCGTGGGTGGTTGGGGTCGCGCGATAACCTAGTGCATGCTTTTTTTTCTTTTATGTTAACTAGATAGCGTGTCTGTGCGTTGCTACGGGATAACTAACAATTTATACTAAAAACATACGGATCACACAATAAGATAACAATACTGTTAAATTAAATACCAACATTAAAGTGACATTTAATCCAAAAAGCAAAGTTTATGAATTTAACACAGTCAAGGAGTGCGCGGTGTCGCAGGCTCACAAACTCTAGAGCTTTCAGAGATTGGGTCGAATCCAACCTAGAACCTCAGAATCTGCATCTTTTTCTGGACGGGCTTCACTTCGGGTGTGCCGGTAGCAATATCAACGATCTCCAGTCGATGGACCAAGTCGTATGGATCTCCATACAATGGCTCAGACATGTAGATTTTATTCTCCATGTACTTAGATACACTTGTTCCACTGAAGCTTTCATTGAAATATTTAGACACGAACAGTGTCTGATCACCGATGTCTCTCACCCTGGACCACTCCGGTCTACGGTCGTGGAGGTTGCACTTGTAGATCGCTGTAGGTGAAGCTTTGTGTCTCATGGAACGTGCTCACCATGGCACCCACAATGTGCAGCTCACCGTTTGATTCCAGGTAGCTACGGTGGTAGAGCCCTGCAGGTGGCAACACCGATGGCAGCAGCGTCGCGGTTGGAGTAGCGCCGGTGGCGTTGCTGTTGCAGACGGAGATTTCTCCAGTGCAGTCGATCGCCAAGAACTTGTCTTGGCAGTGGACGATGGACCCCACGGAGAACTCCAGTTTGGTGTCGAGCAGCGTCCATGCGCTGTCGACTCTAACTCGGCAGAACGCGACCTCCGTGGAGCACCCAAGCATGGCCATGGCCACGCACTTGCGGCCGGCGGAGTTAGGCGGCGCCGAGAGCACGATCTCACGAAAGAACCCTCATGTCTTCTAACTTGATGGCTCTGCCTGCGGCATCCGCGTCCCCGTAGCCGATGGTGGGATGGAGGACCCACCGGCCGTGGACCCTAGACACGCGTTCCGATGAGGCCGCCGCCGCCACGTGTTCGCCTGCTGGTGGGAGCTCAACGCGGGGGGCATGGGCACCGGCGAATGGATTCAGCAGCGTCACGGACACCGCCTCGTCCATGAGCGCCAGCCACCCACATGAGGAGCCACACGCCACCTTGCCGCGCACGTCGGGCAGCATCTGGGACAAGACCTTCTTCTCCGAGACGTAGTAGAAGCCGACGCGGTCCGAGTCGGGGTCGAACGGGAGCAGCAGGAGCGGCCCGAAGGTCACGAATGGGACGGTGGCGCGCCATGGGGAGCAAGCGGATCAGAAGGACGCCGCGTCGTGGCCTGACGCGAGACGCTGCCCGATGGACTCGAGGAGATCCTCTGGCAGGCCGGATCTCCAGTCAGGGAGAGGTAGGGACCTTCGCTTGGGATTGGGAGGCTGAGCCATGGAAGACAGATGATATAAACTATGGTTCACGCAAGAAACAGCAAGCGAGGACGATGGAACACGTGAGCGTGAAACCAAATAAAAGGAGGAAAAAACTGTCCCTTTTGCAAATGCAAAGAGGGGAAGTAATTAAATGTAGGCAGATTTGGCAAGGTTCTCAGAAATGCAAAGAGGTTCCTTTTATCTTAATTCTATTTCCTTCTGTGTTAATTCTCTTTCCTTTTGCTCGTTGTCATGTATGCTGGTGCATGCAAACATGCAATGTGTATATATGGATAGCACAATAATTTTCTACTTTCTATTTTGCTGTGATTCCTCTATCACATGATAGACAATATTCAATCAAGGAGAATGGCACGATCAATCAATAATTAAGATGTCGTAGGATCGCAGGTGTGGACAGATGGACGAATCAAAACAAATGTCGCACCAAAAAGTGCCAACACTTTATTCTTTTTAGTTGTTGGAGATTTCTTACGACTACGGTTTATTTATATACTCTTATATAGTATATATACTGCTTGCCGCCGGTTCTGCTGGGTATGCTGGTGCATAGCCGGCGTACCCGTGGCTCGGCCACTGATAGCTGGATTAGAAGCAAAGCATGACCCAAATGATACATGCTGCTACCTCACGCGCCAACCAGGCTGCGCAGGAACGGACCTCACAGCTGCGTCCTTTTGCACGTGTCCAACCAGGCCCAGCTCGTGAGCTTCTGGATCAACATATAGCACATATATATAAGAACACAATGCTGGATATATGTACGGTCAAGCTACATATAGTATCAATGCTGGCCCATCCACTGGTTGGTCGTCAGTGTCACCCACGGTGCATGTCGATGATGAAATGCTCCGGCTCCGATAAATTTACAGCAGAAGAAGATGATGGACGACGGGTCTCTGGCCCGAGATTAACGGGGACCCGGCCTTCGAGCATATCCACCACATTTTGCATGCTTGGCCAGTTGGCCTCATGTCCCGCTCGTGCTGGATGCAGCAGAGCGCCACCTTCACCACCGTCTTCACTGCCTCTTCATCGTCAACAGCCACCGCCATGGCTGCGTCCACCAACTCCATGTGCTCGCCTTGCGCCACCTTCTCCCGCACGTTCCGCGCCAGGTTTGGGTCCGGCGTCGCTGATGACGAGGAGTCTTCTACATCCGCCATGTTTATATAGTCTCGCTACACTATGCAGGCTGGGAGTGAAGAAAAAGAGTGTTGCAGAGATGAGAATCCGGGCTGGCACGGTAGAAGAGCTTTACAGGCGCACCGCAGTGGGGCGTGCTCATCTTCTTCGAATGGGTTGAGAAGAGAAGAAAGGCGCGTGAACTACAAGATATGAAGGTTCCAAAACGAGCGGGACCCGGCCAAAACATGGTGCACGTTGGGCCGACCATGTACAAGCAATTTTGTGTCCAATGTGTGTACAAACTTCACGGTAGATACAGATACTACACAAGTATATCCACGACTCTATCGCCCAACCAATCATGTCCACTCAATCCCTTCGATTTTCATTGCCACATATATCTTCTTTATTCAATAGATGTAATCTCCGGTGTATAATATATAGAGTGAGACTACCTGCGATATTATAACAAACATATAGTGATAAATTAATCCTATCAGAATCCACTAATAAAACAGAAATATCGAATTTAGTATATTGCAAATCTATCGGTGATTATACAAACATCTGAAGGCAGGAAGAGGCAGGTGTGGTCTGAGGATCTGAGCAAATTCGGAAAACATGACTTCATTTGATTATACAAATATATGGTTTCAAATTTCGAATAGGAAATCCTGTGTTCAATTGTACACATAACTACATAAAATGGTAAAATACTTGGAGAATAACATCTGAAGTGGAGAGACCCAATCCACTGGCGTCACCCACCGTGCATATCGATGACGGCGTGCTCCGAAATCGAATGTGGCTCCGATAAACTTACAACAGAAGATGATGGACGATGGGCCTCCGGCGGGAAATTAACGGCGACCCGGCCTTCGAGCATATCCACCACATTTTGCATGCTTGGCCTCATGTCCCGCTCGTGCTGGATGCAGCAGAGTGCCACCTTCACCGCCGTCTTCACCGCCTCCTGATCGTCTACGGCGACCCGGCCTTCGAGCATATCCACCACATTTTGCATGCTTTTCCATGGCTGCGTCCACCAACTCCATGTGCTCGCCTTGCGCCATCCTCTCCCGCAAGTTCCGCGCGATGTTCGGGTCAGGCGCTGCCGACGACGAGGGATCGAAGTTCCGGTGTCCGCCGATGAGCTCGAGAAGTGTCATGCCGTAGCTGAAGACATCGGACCTGTCCGACACCGCATTGATGAGCATCTCCGGCGCCATGTAGCCGAAGGTGCCCCTCCCGCGCGTGTTGATGACGCTGGTCAGGTCCCGGGTGATGGAGAGGGAGATGCCGAAGTCGGAGACGTGCGCGCGGAGGCCGCCGTCGAGCAGGATGTTGCCCGGCTTGATGTCGAGGTGCAGGATCCGCCGGTGGCAGTCTTTATGGAGGTACGCGAGCGCCCGGGCCACGTCGACGGCGATGCAAAACCTCTTTGGCCACGTCAAGAGGCGCCTTTGCTCGTCTCTGCGGTTGAAGATCCACCTGTCCAGCGACCCGTTCTCGAAGAATGGGTAGACAAGGTAGAGTCCGCCCCCGCCATGATGGAGGCAGTAGCCGAGGAGGCGCACCAGGCTGCGGTGGTGCACGTTGGCGATGATGGAGACCTCTCTTCTGAATTCTTCTTCTCCGGCCTCGGTGCGCCCACTGTGCATATGTATGCGCTTGACGGCCACGGCCGTGCCGTCGTCGAGGTTCCCTCGGAAGACCTGGGCGGAGCCGCCTTGCCCTATCTTGTTTCCGAAGTCTTGCGTCATGGCTTGGATTTCATCGCTTGAGAATTCCTTCGGCATGTCTCTTATGCGAAATGGGGTCTGTTGGACTTGGAGCTGAAGGACCGCCGCTTCTTGTTCACGTGGCTCTGTCTCCTTGTGGGCATTAAGAGCATCGAGCCATCGTCGGATCCACGGATAAAGCTTCCAGTTCCAGATGCAGTACGAGGATATAGCGACGATGTTGGCCCCGAAAATGAAATCGGTGCGAAGTTTGGTGTTGGCAAACGAGGAGAGTAGGGAGACAAACAGAACAAGGACAAGAAGTCCAGCGGAGATAACTTTCTCCTTCCGACCAGAGGAGTTGCAAATGTATAGGAAACCAACGGCGTTGTAGGCTACTAACTGAATGAGTAGCCATACTCTCATACTGTTGTATAGATCAATTGGGTCGTTGTCGGTATACTTTAATCCTGATGAACGGCGTTGTAGGCATACTTTAATACTGATGTATTGGCCCATTTGGTCGTAATATCGACGATAATAAAAATAGGCAAATATAATCACAACCAATAGGATAGTTACAATTGCACCATGTAAGATGGTTCTCACAATAAGCTTTTTCAGCCTACAGTAGTGCAGGATAAAGCTAAGCCTCCAGACGCAATACGAGAATATAGCTACCATATTGGCCCAGGAAGCGAGTTCAATGAGGTTGGTGCGGTCGTCGTTGGTATCGTTGGTATAAATTCCAAGAGGAGAGATGAGGAACACAGACATAACAAGTACAAGATATCCAGCAGACATAAACTTGTCTTGCCGACAGGAGGAGTTGTAGATGTATAGGCAGCCAAGGGCAAGGTAGGCTATGATCTGAATCACCAGCGACGCAACGGCGTTGAGGTGAACGCAATAAAGAAAAATGTAGGTAAACATGATCATGGAGAAAAGGGTAGTTACCATCACAACATGTAAGATGGTTGTCCATGCACTGCAGCATCGTTGAGAAGGATCGACAAGAGGGCTGGAGTCTTCTACGTCCGGCATGTTTATTGTACCTACTAGACTCTGCAGGCTGGAACTGGAAAGGTGGAAGCGAAGAAAAAGGGCTGCATGCGGAGATGAAAATCCGGGACGATAGAAGAGTCTACAAAGGGTTGAGAAGAAAAAGCCGCGTGAACTACAAACGACAAGGCATTGGAGCCAGGCAATTTATATATGAAGATCCCAAAACGAATGGGGCCCGGTCGGCCAACCAAGACATGGTGTACACTTGTACCGTGTATACGTTAACTGACCATGGACGAAGAACTTCCCAGTCGTACATACTTGGTCTGTCTCCACGGGCTGTCTAGCCGCACCTTGAAATCGATGTTTAGAGGTAGTTGAAAATAACAACTGTCTTAAGAAATGGGTTTCTAAATATGACTGCGTCTCTACGACTCAATTTTTTTTAGTGGCGGCTGTTGTTCCTAATTAACCATTTCTAGCCACCTCCAAAAATCTCTTTTTTGCCCATATTGAAAATTCTAAATTCTAAACACACATATAAAGTGTTATATATAATGTATATATAGGGAAATTATTTCCTATTATTAGGGTGTAGTTATTGTCATGGGTACATCTCTAGATTCATGGTGAATATTACCCGATGAAATGTATGTAGACAGAGTATGTGATCATGTTAGACCATCTAGAGTAGTATGTATGTCAAGTATGCACTATAAATATACACGTATATATGTATATTCAGATGAGGACAAAACATCACATGAATTGGTCATGTTTGCTTATCTTATAATCCGTCTTTTTCAGTTTAGTTTTTTCAGCTAGAATAATATTTTTCTCTCACAACAAATCAGCTGGAACAGTATTTCGGCTTATTTTTTGAGCGAATCGAACGGGGCCCAAACCAACTTAGCCACACAACACCCAAAAAATAAGTGGTTGATAGATTCTTCTCTAGACCATGTAAGATTGTTGTCATTATTCTCAATGCTGCCTTCCTACAGGCCAGTACACAGTACTGCAGCTACGTACGGCAACAGCAAACGAGCAATGCAAATCTCATCATCAAAGAATCACGCGCGGGAAAAACTTGCCGTCGGGCGTCGGCCGTCGCTTTTTCAAGCTTGAAACGTTGGACCGCGGCGCGCGCGCGTCTTCTTCGACCTTCGTCATCGCGGCGGACTTGGAGCCCGCGCTCCGCTCGTGCGGGCGGCGGGATGGAGCCGGCGCTTACGGGCGGGCTACGGCACAAGAAATCACGACGACGGTTTCTTTTCCACGGTGCTAGTCGTAGGCTAGTAGCAGCAGCTAGCTTGTACGGCGGAGACACGGACGGGGCGCCGTATTACCGGCCGGCGCGCACGCATCGGAGACGAAGACGTGCGGCCGACTTGCTGGATCTTTATCCTCGAGACGGTAGCGTTCCTGTCCGAGTCCAGACCATGAACGCACCAGGTGCTGTTGTCGCCACGTGTCGGCCGTCGCTCACCTCATTCACCGGAGACGGAGGGCTTCGGTTTCGCAGAAGCAGCAACCTTATGTTTCTTATTGGCTAGCCAAAAACGAGCAACCGATTCAAAATCATGACCAATTCTTAAACCAAGGAGCTTAGAAATATAGTCCCAAACCAACTTAGCCACACAGCACTTAAAAAATAAGTGGTTGATAGATTCTTTCTCTAGACCATGTAACATTGTTGCCATTATTCTCAATGCTGCCTTCTTGCAGCATCCTCCAGAACCAGAAGGATCGGCAACAGGGCTGCAGTGACCATGTAACTTCGAGGAACATGGTAATCTGACCTGACCATGTACCTTCGAGGAACTTCCCAGTCGTAGATACTTCAGTTTGACTCAGCAGTGACCATATTTCACATGAATCGTCCACTAAGCAGTTTGACTAAGAGACTGGGACGCTCTGGCCAGGACGGTACTGAAATCAGAAATCGTAACTCCAGCCCTTCTGCCGCCGGTGCTTGCTCTCTGTGTCCACGTGTCGCGCCCGTGGTTGGCTGTCCGCACAGCACCGCGTACGGACGGGTCGTGCACAATTTTTTCCCGGCAGGGCAACACCCAGCGGATGAAGCGGGCACGCAGCCACGCAAGGCAGCCGCGGCCACGACACCTGTTGGCGTCGGTGACCGCAACCGCAAGCGGCAGGCGCTGAAGGCGTTGCGCGGTCCGGGGCCTTTTCCGCGGCCAGGGGACGCGTGAGGCGTGACTGCGTGAGCGGACGCAGTCCCTCACTGCCCGCGGGGCAGTGCCGGTGCCGCACTGCCCGGTAGAGTTGCGTGCGGCGGTGGACACGACGAAGCTGAGCAGCATGAAGGGACACCAGCCACGGTGTTGGTGGAGCGATACCGGATGGAGTAAGAGGCTAGGTCTGAATGAATAAGTGGACCGATGCCTCGGGCGAAGACTCGATCTGGTGGGACCAGTCCCAAGAGGCGCAGAACGTTGGTATATAGTATTAAAATCAAAACTTTCTCTTTACAATGGTTGACCTCATCTTCTTTTATAGGTAGGCGTGCATCAGGGAAGGCTGTATATGGCCGGGACATTTACAAGAGTAGTGCTGCACTGCTCTATCGGAAAGCTTCGAGGCTGGATGCCGTATGGGAGATATTCAGACATACTTCAGTTTGACTAAGCAGTGACCATCTTAGGATTACGATAGATGCTTCCGTTTCTATAACATCTTGAATCAATATTTTAGCTTTAAATTTTTAATTTAGGTACCGTTTAGTTCCACTTCGTTTTGCAAAATTTTCAAGATTCCCCGTCACATCGAATCTTTGGACGCATGCATTAAGCATTAAATATAAATAAAAAATAAAACTAATTACACAGTTAAGACGAAATTCACTTAACGAATCTTTTAAGCCTAATTAAACTATGATTGGACACTAATTACCAAATCACAACGAAAGTGTTAAAGTACCATTTCGTCAAAAAATTTGCAAACTAAACAGGCCCCTAGTTGTTGAAATTTTTTAACCACATGTTTAGCTAAACCTAAATGTATATTGGGCGTCTGCGGATCCTCTCGGGACTTCGGGCTCACGGTACTCGAGGTGCAGTACGCTGCCCACGCCTCTTCTTCCCAAGGGCGATAGGACACCGGTGCCGCCGCTGGAGGACCCACGCTTTCCACCACCAACGACAAAAAAGGACAGGGGCACTGCTGCGCAGTGCGCACAGCATCCTGAACAAGCCGTACTATCCTATCCAATCTATGGAGTAGCTCGATTGGTCTACGTAGCATCAGGGAAAGCGAGCCAGAGCGCAGCCATGTTCATGCGGCGGTTGCAGCGTCCGGCCTCGTGCGCCTTGCGCTTCTTCTCGTCGGTCTTGCTCTCGTACCCACAACGGCCTATGCACGTCCCCGAACGGCGGGCTCTGCACGTCTTCGTCGGCGTTGAGGTCGCCGGCGTCGGCCTCGGCGAACATCACGCCCTGAGCAGCATGCGCTGCTCCTGCTTCGAGCTTGTGGCCGCGTGCATCAGACAATCACAATGATAAAATGATGTGTTCCGACTACCATGGCCGCCTGGGACGTCATCGCGGCTGGCTGCGAGGGCGCGGCGGCCGGCAGGGAGAAGGACGCGGCCGGCCAGAAGGAGGTGGCAGCTGGCTGCAAGTTGGCGGCGGCGGTAGGCACGTCGCGGCCTCCGAAAGGGATTGTGACCCCATGAAAAGTCGCGCGAGACAAAAAAAAAACGAGCAAAAATTTACGTGGGACTCAAATTTGATTTTTTGGAAACCATTTATTGAAAACTCTTGGAGATGGCATTCTTTTTTCCTCCCAATACCTTTTGGGGAATTGCAAAACTACGTGATTTTAGAGGAAAAATGGTGTTGTATTTGGAAGAACAGCAGGCTTTCAATTTTTCCCAAGGCTTAAGAGTCAACACTCAAGAGGTGACAGCCAGCCAAATGATCAAATAAAGTTGAAACATATCTCTAAGGTAAAAAAGAAGTAACCGAAGGACAATAGTTCCCACCTGAATATGATTCTACAGATACCGGCAATAATGTCGGGAATGGAACATTATAAAACGGGGCAAACTTGAGAGGTACATAGTAGAGGTGAGATAAAAACTTAGTCAAGTAGGGCCACTAGCTATACGGTTGTTCCCTACGTCAAGGGGTTTGGGTCCGGCGTCGCCCATGACGAGGGATCGAAGTTCCGGCGCCCGCTGATGGGCTCGAGAAGGGTCATGCCGTACCTGAACACATCGGACCTGTCCGATACCGCATTGACGAGCATCTCTGGCGCCATGTAGCCGAAGGTGCCCCTCCCGCGGGTGTTGATGACGCTGGTCAGGTCCCGGGTTATGGACATGGAGATGCCAAAGTCGGAGACGTACGCATAGAGGTCACCGTCGAGGAGGATGTTGCCCGGCTTGATATCGAGGTGCAGGATCTGCCGGCGGCACTCGTACGCGAGCGCCCTGGCAACATCGACGGCGATGCAGCACCTCTTGGGCCACGTCAGGAGGCGCCTCTGCTCCTCGCTTATTTGGAAGGGCCACCTTTCCAGCGAGCCGTTCTCGTAGAATGGGTAGACCAGGTAGAGGCCGCCCCGGCGCTGGAAGCAGTAGCCGAGGAGGCGCACAAGGCTGCGCTGGTGCACGTTGCCGATGATGGAGACCTCTCTTTTGAATTCTTCCTCACCGGCCACGGTGCGTCCACCGTGGATGTTGATCCTCTTGACGGCGACGGGCGTGCCGTCGACGAGGTTCCCTCGGAAGACCTGGGCGGAGCTGCCTCGCCCTATCATGCTTCCGAAGTCTTGCGTCATGGCTTGGATTTCATAGCTTGAGAATTCCTTGGGGGGCATTCTATGCAATACAGGATCTGTTGGTGTTCAAGCACTGCTTCGTCTTGCGGTGCCGGTTGGCGGGGCGGTGCCATGGCAGCATCAGGAGCTTGAAGAAGGCGTCGTCGGAGCCAGGGATAAAGCTTCAAGAGACAGTACGAGGATATGGCCACCATACTAGCCCAGAAAATGAGGGAGGGCCGAAGATCGATGTTGTC